AAGTAGTAAGCCTAAGCAATTAAAACAATGCGATAAATTAAAATAACAATAAATATAACATAATTTTATATTTTAAAATACCCATAATCAAAGACTTACTATAAGTACGTTAGTTAAGTAAAAACTTGCTTGAATTTCAGAAGTAGTCGAAAAGCAAAAAATGCAACAATTTACGTAAACCATGATCAAATGTCGAGCAAGTTTTTTAAGCTCATTTACGTTCGAGGATTCATCCATTTTTACAAGTTAGAAGGGTAAAATTTGGAAATAAAATTGCAAGGCTGACTTGATAGGTTATATATTTATATAATATTAATAACATAAACTTGTACCTTTTTTTTATATATGGTACTTATTTACACGGAAATCATTAGCGAATTAGTAAAGATAAAAATTCAATAACTTGGCATCACATGAATTCTTTAAGTCAAAGTAAAACTGTATATCGATATTAATAGCATATATTATTTACTATCGAGAAAATATTATAAAACAAGTTTTTTGTTTCCAGTCATTTATTCTATTGCGTTTTTTATTTCCAGGTTATTTTATATTACAGTATTAGACTACATATATATTCGAGGATACATCTTGATTTCTATTCATTTTTAGTTAGACTGACTTAATGAGTCTACTATATATTTATATATTGTATATATACCCAGTATGAATCTTATATATTATTATTTACTATCGAGAAAATATTATAAAGCAAGTTGTTGTCTAATTACTTTTTATACTGTATCATACAGCATATTGCGGATCTTATATATTTTTTAATCTTGTTTTTAAAGATTCTGCTAATGTTTATTACCTTTTTTTACTTCATATTTTTATATTATATAATATACATTGTTATTTGTGTAAAACCAGTTTTTTTTTTACCAATAGAGTATAAATTGACTCGTTATATACTGATCTGTTATCATTTATACGTAGTTAGTAGTGATTTAGAGATGTAGATATGAACAGAACATTGAACAGATAATATAAATAATCTATGGGTTACTTTAAAGTAACCCGTAGATTATTTATATTATTTGAAATTTACGGGTCGCATCACTATACGTAGTTATTAAACTAGATTATACCTATATCATATAATATGCAGATTTTTAAAATTTAATTTTTCAGAATTCTTGTTTAATAGTGTAAAGTAAATCTTTATATTGTATTAGACTAAAATTTTATAAATTGGTGTTGTTTATTACCTTTTTCCTATATCTTTTTCAAAGAATGATCGATATAATGAATTTTAATAATCTCATTCAATTTTTGGTTGCAAACTCAGGTAAGAATATAAAATAAAATTTATTTTTATTAATGCGACTTAAAGCTTGCTTTAATTCATGACAAAGCCAATGAGTTAATATATTCTTTCCTGCACTCTAGTTGTATCAGTTAATGATGCTTTGAATTTTGCTCATTTGAAAAGGTAAAAATCCTTAATATTGTGAAAATTATTCGAAAGAATCTAATCCAAACATATATGGCATCACCATTTACAGTATTGATTTGGTCAATAATGATTTTATTCTATATGATAATAGGTATGAATAATCCTTCATTGTTTGTTCTAAATTATAGAAAAACCTTTAATAATTTTCATCCTACTTTATGTCAAGACCGATCGGAGATATGCAACTTGAAATTTTTAATCAATCCTTATTTGAAAGCGAAGATAAAGAAATTATTGTTTTACATAATTGCCCGATGACAGGCTTTATCTTAACTGTACTTATATCTAAGAAAATGCTAAATAAATAAATGTTCATGTATATGCACAGAACAATGTCCTTTTAATGAAAATTTTAATGCTACTATTGGTTATTCTTCAACACCGGATCATATCGATGCACAATTGAATATTTCTGAATTTATTGAAGATGATGTAAACAGGTATTAATCAGGCTTTTTCTTATAATGACGTTATTTGACATAGTAATTACATGTCTATAAGATCATTTCCAAGACAAAAATCTAATTTACTTTTTTGAATTAACTAATAAAGAAATTATATCTATCTCAACATTTATAATATAAATTTTTGGCAGAATTAAAATGCAGATTTTGGGTAGAATTAGATCATAAATTCGGGTAAAAATCGAATATAAATTTTGGGTTTAACGTTAACTTAGGCGGAGTTGGATTATAAATTGGGCAGAAATTGAATATAAATTTGGACAAAATTAGAGTCTAAATTTTGGCGGAATTAGGGTATAATTTGGGTAGAATTTGGGTAGAATTAGATTATAAATTTAGGCAAAATTAAAGTACAAATTTTGGCAAAATTAGAATATAAATTTGGGCGAAATTTAAATATAAGTTTGGCAAAATTTTAGACTCTTTCAGAGAATACTTGACTAATTAATTTCTATATTATATTAGAACATAATTTAAATGCTTAGTTATATTTTTATAATTAAATTTCGATAAATAGATTTGTGTTTTTTTGTCATATTATAGTCGAGTCTTTTCAAAGATAAGAAAAGTGCACGTATAGTACTATTATCAAATTGCTGAAATTATATTTTTTAATAATGATAAGAACTTTAAACTGTTTTTACTTGACATTTTGTAATTGTCAATATTGAAAACTAGATTTTACATGATTCTTTTAATACATTTTATCATTTGAGAGACACGAGAGCTAATTAAAACATTTATACATAATAGCATCATATTATCTTTTGCAAATGAAGAATGAAAAAAATCATAAAAATCAGGATAATGAAAAGAGCAATCTAGTTATTTAAATCATTGCATATATTTCCCCCTGGTTTTCGTTTATCCTTAATAATTTAAGAATGAAAATTAATTCTTACTCTAAGGCAAATTTTAAAACTTAAAATACTTACTTTTTAAAGTATTCCAATTCAATAACTTTCTCTTTGTTTTCGTTCATCCTTTAAGAATGAAAGATCAATACTCATTCTAAGGCAAATCTTAAAATTTAAATACTTACTTTTTAAAATATTCCAGTTCTGAATTCAATTTTGTGCAAATTGAATTCAATTGAAGCAATTTATCTTGCAGACTTTTCTCTTCTTTATTTTTTAGCACTATATATGAGGCAGCTATAAGAAGGATTATTTAGCTTAGTAGATCTGTTATTGATAGTTAAAATATTAAAAAGCGATTCACCTTTTTTCAATAATTCGGTATTACTCATTTTATAGCAAGTAGGCGGGAGTTGTTCTTTGAGTATAGTATATCCCTGAATAATCTGTTTATGTCTTTCTTTTTCTTCTTCTACTTTAATCTTCCTAACTTCACCTGAGTTAATTTTATTAAGAGTTCTTTTTTTATGTAGCGGTGAAGTTATGCTAAGATAAATATAGTTTTTTTATTAAATAGTTCAATAAAGCAAATGAAATTTTTGGCTTGAAAATAACCTTATGGGACCTAGTAATTACTATGTCTTATAATTTCATTTTCAAAGCAAATCCTAATACCTGCTTGTGTCATCTTTATCATTAAAGTCGAGAATATTCAATTGAACTACACTAAAAGTCAGTAAAAAATATATATATAGCCTTAGCTCGTAATCTATCATAATACTGGACCACATAGTACCCCCTAATATGTAATGAGCAACGACCAGAAGTTGAACCAGTTGGCTTTCCACAATCAGTGCAAGGTACTCTTCTTTTAGCTTTCCAATGATAACTACACCCTTCGGGACGCATGCTGTTTCTTCCACAAATTTTACCAGTATTATGATAAAATGGGCAAGTATATTCACCAATCATTTTTTATATATATACTAAAATATTTATTTAAAGATTTTCTAATGTATTATATACAAAACTTTAGTTAATCAAAACATATTATATATTCAAATGTCATCTACTAATAAAAACATCGATCAGTTAACCAATGAGGCCAAACCCTCAACAGAAAATCAATTAATGCCAAAATGGCAAGATATTGCTAAAGCTATCAAAGAGATAGTTATAGTAGCAGATTATTGTGGAAAACCTAGAGATGGAAAATTAATGAAAGCTTATAAAAAGCAATATAGGAATTTGTTTAATGCCGAAGAGCCAGATGAATATATAGTGGAATGTGCAAAAAACAAATTTCCAAATAAAGAAAAATATATGGAGATGAAAGAGCAATATAAACAATGGTATAGATTCGAACCCAAACTATTAAAAGCTATTGGGGATCTTAATCTTTTATATTATAAATTAGCAAAGCCATATTTCAAAGATTTAACTAAAATTCGAAGTGAAATTGATAACTTCCTTGATAATAATGAAATTGATAATATAGA